TTTACATGAACGTTGTATTTGTCATCGTGATATTAAACCTGAAAATATATTATGTACAAATTGTGAAGAACCATTTGATATTAAGCTTGCTGATTTTGGTCTTGCTGTTCGGTTTGATGAAGAACCTATGACAACAAGTTGTGGGACATTACATTATGCAGCACCAGAAATTGTTGGAACAGCAGAGACATATACTGAGGCATGTGATATGTGGTCAATAGGGGTATTAGCGTTTGTACTATTAACAGTTAGTTTTCCATTTGATGGAACACTGGAAGAAGTTAAACAAAAAATATGTAAAGGAGATGTTGATTGGAATAGAATTAAAGGAAAAGATACTTGTGAAGAAGCTATTGATTTTGTTGAAAAATTATTAGTAGTAGATTCAAGTAAAAGAATGACTGCTCAAGAATGTCTAGAACATCCATTTTTACATTTATTAGATGTAGAAACAGATATTGATATTCCATTAGATATTATCGATGATTTTGAATTGTAAGAATTGTTTAAATTTTTAATTGCATTTGTTGTTTAGTGATTGTGCTTTTATGTAGAATTATTAAGAAGTTAGGTAAACAAATATTTCAATTATATTCAGTTTGTAATATTGAAAATATTTGAGCATCATAATAAGTACCATATAATAGTACCCGTTCTCGTTGAATTCCTTCTTTTATTAAATGAAGTCGTTCACAAACACGTAAACTTGGTTGATTAGTTACTGCAACTTTTAATTCAATTCTATGAAAATGAAGTTCTGTAAAAATAAAAGATATCATTTTTCTTAATGATTGTGTCATTATTCCTTGATGTTGAAATTTTGGAGATAACCAATATCCTACTTCACAACATGAATTATTAAAATCGCTACTTTGAATTCCAATTAATCCACAAAATTCATTGTTTTTATTCAGTCTGATAGAAAATACCTTTTGTTGATAATTTCTCATTGTCTCTTTTACAAATCGTTCACTATCACTGAGATCTTTTACAAAATCAACAAAACTTAAAAATGGTTTTAATTCGTTTCTGTATTGATTAATAGTATTAAATATTTCTTGTTCATCTCCTTCAATTAGTTGTCTTAAATAAATTGTATCATTCACACTCAGACAGTTTGTCATTGTATTTTTTAGTTTTTAAACTTCCTTCTTTTAATTTAAATTTATTTGTTTTTTTATTTTAAATCAACTTTATTTAATTTAAAAAAAATAACTTGTAATTTAACTCCTAATTATTCATTTTCTTTTATTTTAGATTATTGTATTACGATTATGTTAGTTATTATTTTATTTATATTATATGAATCAATTAAAAATTATCATTTTATTTAAGAATAAAATTCTACTATTTACTATTTCCTAAACTTTTAAAAATAAATCAATTTGATTATTATTTTTTATTCTAATTACAATATCATTTATAAAACGTATTATTTTATATAACTTCTTATAACATATTCATTTACCTATATTTGTTCTAGGTTTGTAGTCTTTATTATTTTATTGGTTCATTCTTATTTCTTTTTTTTCTATAAGTTAGGATATTCTTCTCAATCTTCATTAAAAAAAATAATTCATAATAAGTTCTTTCAAATATATATTTATAAAAAGTGTTACAGCATTTATAATAAAAAAAGTAGAGTTTTAATAGACAACAAGTAATAATAATTTAATAACTTTTTATTCTTAAGGAAGTTGAAATAATTAGCTCTTTAGCTAAATTGTTTTATCAAATTTGCGATTAACAATATAAAAAAGCATTTATAACAAAAAAAACAAGTAATGAAAGTGAAAAACTTAATGAATAAAAAAATAAATTTATTATTTAAAAGATTTTAATAAATAACAATAATATGAAATTTTTTGTTATTTATAAAAAACAAAAAATTCTGAATTCTTCTAAAGTTTCTTTGAAGAAAATTCAAGGGACTTTAGTTTTTCAAAAAGAGACACATTGAAGGAAGTAAATAGTAATGTGATTAATTTAATTTGTTTAAGGCGTCCATGACTTGGTTATTCATATCTTCTGTTAAAGACTAAGAAGATTAGTATTAAAATTATCTTACTTACAGAAAAAAACAAACAGTCAAAACAGATTGAACATAATTATCTGAAACTATAGGAAAGATAGGAATAACAACTATCATTGCTACAGTAAATCCAAAGAGTATAATAGCAAATATAAGAGCAGTTGGTGAAAAGAGTTTTTCAGCAAGTTCAGAGACCATAGTTAAACAAAATTAGAAAAAGAGTTCTTTTAATTTTTAGATCAATCATGGAAAAGGACCAACCCCAAACTTCTCAAATGAGTAAATATATTGTTGAATTAGAAAATATCGAACAACAAACAAATAGCGTTGAAGATATGTTTGTTATTTTTTTCCTAAATAGAAAAAATAAATTAATTACTGATAGGTTAATGTTATGTTGTTATGATATTAATCAACACCAATCTGAATATAACCAAATTGTTAATGACGTAAATCAACTTAATACTAACTTACTTTCTATTCAAGAAAAACAAAAAAAATTATCTACTATCATAGAATCAAACCAACAACAAGCTGATAAATTAACTCGACTAATTAAATTAAAAAACCCTGACTTGTTAAATTCTTTTAATGGTACATTATTACGAAAAAAATCATTAAGTGAAATAGAACAAATGATTGTCTTACTCAATCAACAAATACAATTACTTCAAAATAAAATAGAAAATATCACTTTTAAATCTCTTCCTATTGAACAAATAAATAACCTTAAAAATCAATTAATAAAACAGTTTGTTATCCTTTTTTTATTAATTACTTTTATTTAATATATCACTCTACTTACTTTAAAAGACGACAGTCATTGGGTCAATTAATGATATATTCCTCACTTATGTGATCTTAGAAGATTAAATAATTAAATGATTTTTTTATTAATCTTATCAATTTTGAAAAAATAAAATCATAAAACAATTAATTAAGTATTAATAGAAATCTCCTGTATTATTCCTTGTTTTGGGGAGACTAATCTCATTCCATTATCGCGTTTTGAAAAAATAAAACTAATTAGTAATCATCTGGAAGTCCAAATTTTGTTGGGTCAAATTCATTAAGTGATTTCAGTAGTACATATGCTTTTTCAAAATAAGGGTCATTTGCACATTCTTTATCTGGAATAGCCACTGTATAAGCTCCAGATGCAATTCCTGCTTGGACACCAAGTACTGCATCTTCAAATACAATTGCTTGTTTCATATCAGTGCATCCAAGTAAATGACCAGCACGTAAAAATATTTGTGGATGTGGTTTAGCTTCTTTTACATGAGGATCATCTCCAAGAACAATTGCATCAAAATAATTGAGCATCTCTTTGTTTTTAACCATTTTTTGTTCAAAAACAGATTTGGTGGTTGAAGTAGCAAGGGCTATAGGGATATGGTGTCTTTTAAAATAATTTAATATCCTTATTGCTCCTGGTAATGGTTTTACTGTTGACCATAAATTATTTAAATGATCAATTTTGTATTGTACTGCATGTTCAAGTGTATCATTAATATGAAGGATATCCATTAATCGTTTAGTGGCAATCTCGATATGTCTTCCCATCATTTCTTTTTTAATGTCATAAGTAAATTTAGCTCCATTAGCGTATTCATCCAAATACTGTTGAGTAGCAATTGTGTATAATATTTCTGTATCAAGTAATGTCCCATCAAGATCGAAGATTGCGTATTTTATTTGTGGAATTTCAGACATATTGAAAAGAAATGATATTTTTACTAATTTAGTTTCTTTTTTTTTTTTCTCATATGATTTTTCTGTTCGATATCTGTACTTTTTTATATTATTAAATTCTTTTACTATTTTTTATAATACTTTTTATCTTCTCTAAAACCAAAGAGGTAAATTTGATCATTCAATAAGTTCGAAAAGAACTAAGAATAAGTTGACTCCTTATACTGTTCATGTCACAACCACAAGACTATTCTTTCTCTAAACTATCATCACGAAGAACTGTTATGACACCTAAGTTCATGCTTGAACATGAACGATTAACGGAACAAGTACAAGCATCAATTCGCACTACCTCAACACCACCTTCTTTATCAACAACTCCAAAAGAACATGAAAGAAAAGAATGGATCAAATCACATAGAACAACTACTAATTTAAGTTCTTATACTAGAAGAAGTGCTCCAACTGCAAAGCAATTTCTTGGTCGTTCAAAAACACTTGAAGAAGATAATGAAATGTTTAAGCCTACAACACCACCATCTCCTTCATTTGTTCCTGTTGTACCTAGAATGTGGGTTGCAATGAATCGCCAACCAACAAAAGAAGAAATATGTAAATCTCCAGAAATATATAAAGATTGTTTGTTATTAGTCTTTATTTAACTAGTAAATTATAATAATATTTATCTCTCTAGTTAATTGTTTTGCTGAAGATAGGCAAGGATGGAAAGAAAAATCAATATTAGATCAATTACCTTTTTATGCTATCGCTAAAGAACTTAAAATACAAATATGTACTTGGAATATTAATCAAGGTTTATATGATCAAGAAATTGTTGATAAATGGACTTCATTATTATCAGAAAAACCAGATATTGTTGCACTAGGTGTTCAAGAATTAGATATGAGTGTTGATGCAATTATAACTGGAAAAAAATATAGTGAACGAGCAGAACAATGGAAAGATGTTATTTGTAAATCTATTAATAGGAATGGAGGAAATGAATATGATGAATCAGGATGGTATCAGCTTTGTGGGATTGTATTATTTGTATTTGTTCATAAACATATTAAAAGTCAAATTAAAATGTTTGGATTATCTGAATGTCGTACTGGAGCAATGAGTGGAAAATTAGCGAATAAAGGAGGAGTAGCAATTGGAATGAAAATTTATGATTCAACTATTTGTTTTGTTAATAGTCATTTAGCAGCACATCAAGAATTTTGTGAAAGAAGAAATAAAGATTGGGAAGAGATTAGTAAAATGAAAATTAAATATTATAATAATACTTCACCACTTTTTATTCCTCTATTACAACATGACGTAGTAATATGGATGGGTGATTTAAATTATAGAATAGATATGGAAGATAGTGAAGTAAGAAAATTAGTTCGAGAAAGAGATTTAACAACTTTATATCGTAATGATCAATTATTTAATTCAAGAATGAAAAAGAAAGTCTTTCAAAATTTTAAAGAAGCAAAAATTACATTTCTGCCAACATTTAAAATTAAAATTGGAAATGGAGAATATGTAGATAACAGAGTTCCTTCATGGTGTGATCGTGTGTTATATAAAACTGAAAGAAGACATGGAGTTATTGTAGAAAAGTATACATCATTTGAATTATATAATTCAGACCATAAACCAGTTAGTGCATTTATGAAAGTATATTTACAAGAAATTAATAAAGAAAAAAAGAAAATGGTTGAAGAGTTTATGGACAAAGCTGAGAAATGGTATTCAATGGTTGTTGTTCCAGAAGTATCAGCATCAATGACATTTTTTGAATTTAGAGGGGTAAATGTTCTTACAGAATATAGTCAAGAAATAACTATTGTGAATACAGGAAAGTCAAGACTTCACCTTACTCTTATCCAAGATGAACAAAAAGAAAATTTACATCTTTGGGCAAAAGTCCAAATGAGTACTGATAGAATTGAAATTATGGAAGGAAAAGATACAGCAAAAGTAAAAGTTAGTATTAAATTTGATTTACATTCAGCTCATTTGTATCAAGAAAAAGAGGCTTGTAAATTTGCTTTTGAAATAGGAATAAAATATACTAAACATACCATTCCTATTGTTGTTAAAGTTTATCCAAAACAATCTTGTATTGGAATGTCATTAAAAAGTTTATCATTATTAGATCGTCCTGTTCGTGGTAATGTTTTAAATTCTTATCAAAGATTACCTTTTACCATCCCGAAAGAAATTTATAGATTAGTTGATAAATTGTTATCTCTAAGTAGTGAAGAAATTCAAAATTGTTTTATTCAAAAATCAACTCCAACTCAAAGACAAGAAGTTCTTGATTCTCTTGATAAAGATAGTCAATTCTTACCAGGAATATTAGCATCAAGTTATTTAGATATTCTTTTGGTTGTATTAGCAGGACTTCAAGATTCATTATTACATGATAATTTTATCTCAGAAATTAAATATTATGCAAATGACCTTGAACTAGCTAAACGTTATGTTATTTATATGATGGAAGAAACTCATAGAAATGTATTTCTTTATATATTGAAAACTATAAAAGAACTTATAGAAAGAGGTCTTGATAGAAGAACGGTTATTCATTTGTTTGGATTAACTATACTTCATACAAAAAAAGATGACTACGAAACTCAACAAATGTGTGAAAGGATACTTACCTTACTTCTTGATTCAATGTAATTCATTAATAAAAATCTCTGTTAATTACCTTTTCATTTACATAATTAATCAATCTCAAATCAATTTCTTTAACTGTTTTATTATTTCATCAATTACTTTACTATAAGTAACTTTTTCTCCCTATTATTCTTAATTTATTTTAATAATATAACAAACTCATTCGTTGAGATGGTTCATTACACCAACATCCTGTGATAATTTTCCAAAAATATTCATTACACTCTTTTGGTTTTGGAAGTCTTTTATTTTGACATACAAACATTGCTATATTCCATTCATTTAAAAATTCAGGAGTATCATATGGAAGATGATTATCAATGCACTCATAACATAATATTCCAAATGAATAAATATCACTTTCTTTTGTTAGTTTTTTTGAATTCCATTGTTCTGGTGGCATATATATTGGCGTGCCAATTTTCTTATCAACAATAGAATCTTTTTCATAACAACATGATTCAAAATCACATAACTTAGCAACAACTCCTGCTTTATATTCTTTTTTTGTTGTCAATAATACATTTCCACTTTTGATATCACGATGAATAATGTTAAGGTGATGAAGATACGAAAGGGCAATACTAACGTCATAACAAACACGAATTCTCATTTCTTTTTTTAATTCTTGACTTTTGATTAATTCTCTTAATGAACCAACTGGAACATATTCCATAATTAATACAAGATTTTTTGGTTCATCAACAATACCTATTGTCTCAACAATGTTTGGATGAATTAGTATTTTTATTAACTCGATTTCTCTCCTAAAACAATTATATTCATATTGATAATTTCTATCAAACATCATTTCTTTAATAGCAACAATTTTTTTTTGAAATTTCCCCTTAAATACTTGACCATAAGCACCTTGTCCTAACAAACAATCAATAGTATAATCATTTGATGTACATAAAAGGATAGTAGAATTGTTCATCACTGAAGAATAAAATAAATGAGTCAGATTTAATTTTTAAGTTATCTTTTTTTTTTATTCATTAGAAACTTCATCTTATTAATTTCATTTTATATGCACAAAAAGAGAGATACGAGTGATGATTCAAGTGAAGACTCTCTTGAAGATATGAAAGAATCAACTGATTATGACATGAGATTGAAACCAAATCATCCTGAATTACCAATGTGGGTTAGTTCGAATTTAAGAATAGTAGTTGAAACATCTAATGATATGTTTAAAGAAGTAAGTGATTATCTTTCAAGAGTGGCTCAAGTCAAAAGCAGAATGGAACACATGCATGAATATCAACTGACACCAACAAGCATTATGACTGCATTTTCATTTGGATCAACTCCTGAGGCAATGATTTCAACATTAGAAAAGTATTCAAAAAATTATTTACCTGATAATGTTAAAAGTCAAATCAGACAAGCTGGAGAAAAGAAACAAAATTTTCGATTAGTTTTAATCAATGGAAAATATTATCTTCAAGCTGAAAGTCAAGAACAAATGAAAAAAGTTATGGAAGAAAATTTTAAACAATTTTATGAAGGATCAGCACGTGAAGTAAAAGAGAGTGATGAGCTATATCGAGAACTTGATTTAGATCATCATGTATTTATTATTGAAGTAAAACAAACATCAGTATTTAAATTAAAGAAGAAATGTAAAAAGAAAAAAGTTAGAGTATATGAGGAATATCATTTTTTAAGAGATAAACAAAAAGAACTTCCTATTCAATTAAGAAAAGATTGTTTACGTCCTCACCAAGAAAGAGCCTTACAACAAATATTTGATAATGAAATGGCACGAAGTGGAATTGTTGTTTTACCTTGTGGAGCAGGAAAAACTTTAACGGCTATTGCTGCGTGTTCAAAAATTAAACGATCTACTATTGTTTTAACTCATACAACTCAAAGTGTTTTTCAGTGGAAAGAAGAATTTTTGAAATGGTCAACTATTAAACCTGATGCAATTAAATTATGTGTTTCTAGTAAAAAAGAACAACTTGGGGATGATGCTTGCGTATTAATTACTTCATATTCAATGCTGTCACATACTGGAGAAAGAGAGTATGCAGGTCAAAGAATTATTGATGACTTGTTAAAGAGAGAATGGGGGTTTATTATCTTTGATGAAGTCCATGGTTCTACAACAGATAATATTGAAAAATTTGTATGTAAAATTAAAGCTCAATGTAAATTAGGATTAACTGCAACATTAATCCGTGAAGATGATAGAATTCGTGATTTAGAATTTATGATTGGTCCAATGTTGTATGAGGCATCATGGCAAGAACTTGCAAAACAAGGCTACATTGCAAATGCTAAATGTTTTGAAGTGATTTGTCCAATGACAAAAACATATTACTCTGCTTATGTTGAGGCAGATGACAGTAAACTTAAACAATGTTTAGCACAACTTAATCCAAATAAAATTGATGCTTGTAAATATCTATTAGAACAACATAAGGCACATGGTGATAAAATTATCATCTTCTGTAATGAATTAAAACCAGCTGGATTTTATAAAGAAAAATTGAAATTACAAAAATGTTACATGGACGGTAACACTTCTGAAGAACATAGAAGAAATTTGTTAGACCAATTTAGAAGAGATGAGATTAGTGTTATTTTTTGTTCTAAGATTGGAGACGTTGGGTTAGATCTTCCTGATGCATCAGTAGCTATTCAACTTTCATCAAGTTCAGGGTCACGAAGACAAGAGGCTCAACGATTAGGAAGAATTCTAAGAGCAAAAGATGGAACAAATAGTGCGTACTTCTATACACTAACATCTAAAGATACAAGAGAAATGTATTTCTCTCAAAGAAGACAACGAGTTATGAGACAAAACGGGTACACCTTTAAAGTGATTGACTCAGCTGTGATTAAGCCACTTCGAAAGGAAGACCCTGCCAAAGAGGGAAAGGATATTAATTATGTAACTGAAATGCTTAAAAAGAAAGATGAGAAAGGTGTTAAAGAAATTGTGAAAAAGACAAAAAAGAAAACATTTCTCAATTAGCGTTAAATAAATTATTTTGGTTTTTTAAATTTTAACTATTTAAAATTCATTTTCTAAACTATTAAAGAATAGTGTGTGTATGTTAACTGTGAAGTATTATTATTTACATTACTGTAAGAAATATTTTAATATTTTTTTATTCTTAAATAATTACATACTTTCAATTCTTAACTTTCTACTCAAAAAATTATTTTGTTCAGTTAATCATTTGCTTTAAAAAGTGTTTATTTAGATTTAGAAGATTAAACTTTATGAATAGTGAATGATTATTTAAATAAATGGAGAATATTATATAGAGAATTTATTTTTAAGATAAGAATAATGTAATTATTCTTTTTCAATATTTAAATTTAAGTTTTAACCCATTAAACATTCGATGTTACTGGCTATTAAAATTCTTATTGTTTTACTGAAACAAAAGTTTCAATGTAATTAATGTTTATATGATTATTTAAAATGAAATACGTTTATTGATAATATTATTAATATTGATTGTTTGTTCTAATTGAATTTTAATTCTTTTTAGTTTTAAATTTGATTAAAAGTGTTTACATTTGATATTGTTATGTTATAACTTTCATAAATATTTACATGCAACTGATATTTCAAATTAAACTTTGCACTTCTTTTCTTTTTAATAGATAATTTTTATTTAGATTTAGTTATCTTCATTTATTGTCTTTAGTTAGCTTTATTATTCTATCTTTTATTGTGTGATGTAGTTTATTTATTCTATTTGTTATATCCTCTGTTATTAGGAAGAAATAATTATTATAACTTAAATTAAAATGATAAATACAATGAATTTGAATATAATAAAGTTTCATTGCTATGAAGTTGTCTTGATAATAGTTATTATTTGATAATTTCTGTAGTAAAAAAATATTGATATTAATGGTTGTAAAGAAAGTAGATTTTTTTTGGGGGGGGGGTTAATTCTACTATAACTTATATTTGCATGCACACTTAACTTGTTTGAGTTATTATATTGTTTTCATTTTTGAGAACTCAAAGTTCAAAATTGCCATCTCTAAAGTTCAAAATCTTTTTTAAGAACAAAATATAGAAGATCAAATAATTTAACTTTATAATTCAAATGGAATTATCACCTTACGAAAAAACTTGCGAAGTACTTGGGATTCAATGTTCATTTGCTATGTTAGGCAAACTTGAACATATAGAAAAACAATGGGAACAATTGATGAATATGTATCCTTATTGCACTGATTATGAAGGGGTTAATACTACAACAAATAACCCATCAGTTGAAGTAGATATTCAGAAGAAATATTCATTAGAATCTATTTCACAAACACTTGATTTAATGATAAAAGAATTATCTAAAGAAATTGCAAAAACTCGTACATTTGGTTCCACTAATAAAAGTGCATTGTTAATGTATTCTTACGTAGTCTTTAATGGTCAAGAATACACAGTTTTTGCCATGTATCAATGTCATTGCAAAACAGACTTTAAATCTGTTGTTCTCTTAGCACAATCATTTTTAAACCTCTTCAATAACGAAAAAGACAAAGTATATCCTATTGAAACAAGTTATAAAGTACTTACAGATAAAGGATGTTTACCATCTGCTAATCAAAGACAAATAATTATGGAAAATCTACCAAAAAATGTTTTAAGATACGACTGTAGTCATCTCAAAGATCCTCATTCTATTCAATCTGTTTTAGATGATCCAATTCCTAATTGTATGACATCTGTAACTATAAAGTTGACAAAGAACGAATTTAACTCATTTGCTTTATGGTGTAGATCAAGACATCTTTCAATTCAAGCAACATTACTTGCAATTGAGTTGAAAGCTTATGAAAAGTTATTTAACAGAAAGGGAAATAATGCAGAATCAATTTCATTCCTTGTACCATTTGATTTAAGAAGATTTCTCCCATTTGAGTCTGATTGTATTGGGTTATTGAGTGAGACAATTTATCCTACATTACCTATCTCAATTATCAACCAATCTATTGAACAGATTTCAATATGTTTAACTAAAAAACTAAAAGAAGTGACAAATATTAATTCAGAAGCATTTGATAGATATCGTGATGCATATTACTGTGGAAATATGGCACTTATGGGAGTAAAACATACATGTTCTGTTTCGAATGTTTCTTCATTTGCTGTAATGAATGGGTTGTCTCAACCATTGAAAGACCGTTTTGTTGATTTTCACATGTCAGGATGTGTTAGAGTGCCATGTAATTCCATGATGGAGGATCTAACTATCCACACATATTCTCTTGTTGATGGATCATTCAATTGCTCTCTGACATATCCATATGGAATTATTCAAACGTCAGTTGCTGAGGCTGTACTGAAGACCTTCAAAGATATTATTAACACAATAAATTAATATCATTTTGAGATAATTCATTTATTAACTCTCTTTTTGTTGAAACAATCAACTAAAGAAGAACAAGAGTATCGTATAACACAGTACATTTTCATTATGGTGTATAAAAAGAATTGTTTATTCAAAGAACTCTAACAATTTGCATCTAAATTTGAATTCTTATTTTAGAATAATAAAATGAAGTGATAAAGAATATGAAATAAGGACTAAAAAGATATTCTAATGAAGAATTATCTCTGTCTTTATTTTAGTATAATAAATAAGAAAGATAATTATTGCATTAATCATGTTTGGTATTCATTAAAAAGTACTCAAGAAATAAAGTTTGAAGTAAAAGTCTTTTTCTTGATTTAGTAGTAAAAAGACAAACTAATTTAATTCACTTGTAAGAATAAACATGATAAAACATAAATAACTTATAGAAGAAAATATAAATAAAAGAATGATCTACGGAATTAATTAAATCTTTTATTGAGTATCTAAAAAATGTATAATTATTTAAATAAAAACTAAGATATTAAATGTTCAACCTGTTCTATTTTGTTTAACTAATTTGAGAGGTATATACTTGTTTCTTCAATGTTTATACTTTTCAGTGATAGAGATATTGAATATTTCAAAACATCTTTATTATTGAAAGTTTGTTTATTGATAGGTAATTTCAATGGAGAGAATATATTTGATATATTTAGTGTTATAGATAATAAATATCTTGTTACATCTTTGTGTTTTTATGTTAAAACATTTCTAGTAATCAAAGAGTCTTATTTTGTTACAAACTTTAAACTTATTTTTTTCATTAATTATTATTTAACACAACAAAATAATAAAGAATATAAATATTGTAGTAAGATTTCTTTTGTTTCATATTTATGTGTTGTTAATAACATACGCTACAAAAGTCACTCAAAGAAATCAGTTGTTTAACTATGGAATGAATATTAGTTAAATTAGATTCTTTCAATGAAACAAATAAAAATGGAATCAGAATTTTATTCTTAAGTAAAATAAATGATAATATCAATAATATTTATTGTATAGTTTTTCATGAAAGAAAACATAACTATTTCAATGAAAATAACAATAATAAAAATTGAAATGAAGAATAAAAAAGATATATACTGTGAACAAAAAGTAATTTCAATGTTTTTAATACTGGTAAAGATGAATAAATATTTATTTAATATATTCTAGTATTAACAAAAGTGTACAATGACCATTCATTAATTTAATGACTTATTTATAGTGATAGATTTGATTAGTTTATCAGTTCTATGAAAGTATTTATCATTTCATTAGATTGGTATGAGTCAATAATTTAATAACATAACTTAGTTTTAATAATTAATAATTTTTAATGAGATATTGATGAATCTAATGAAAAAGAATATATGTTATTAGAATATTATCTATTACTGAATTTATTCATCTTAATATTTATATTTTTATACTTTAAAATGATATAAAAATGAGTTTAAATAAAACTGTTAATTTGAGAGTTATTATTTGAATGTTTTACTTTAGTTATGAGGTGACACAGTATTGGTTTATTTTTATTATTTAATAAAATAACATAATGAATATGAGTATTTCAAATAAAATAAAACAAGAATGAAATACAATCATTTTTATATTCACCATTTCATTCATTGATAGATGAAATGTTCATATTTATTTATTGATTTAATATTCTTTTTTAGTTTTTATATTTCAAATAAACAATATTTAATAATTTCATTTCAATTATAATGATTCGTTCTGGTGTGAAATTATATTTTCAACAAAGTGTGTTTTAGATTCTATTATACTCAAATGATTATTGATAATAGTATGGTTCTATTTTATTATTTTATTTATAAACAACAATATCACCAAAATCCAAATTTAAGTAATATTACTTGATTGATTTATAATTTAAATCAAATTTTTGAATATTTATATCAAATTTCATCATTCCTTTTATTCTTCTTTTTAATTTTAATGAAAATAAAAATGAATTTCGATCATTTATATATTAACTCATTGAATAGAAAACAGGTTTGAATTCTTATTACTTTGCTCATTTGTGAAGTTGGATGAATACCACCATTCATTTATTTGGTTGAAATTTGGACACATTTATTAAATTTGTTCAACATTCAATACATTAATTTGTCCTTTGTTTACAACCCCTTGACGTTTCTTTCTTAAATGAAAAGAAATATGGAGAGAATGATATTGAATTAAACATACTGTTTTAAACTATTTAATTTGAAAGGGAATATTGTTATAGACATTTCGTTTGTTGGGTTTGTGTTAATTTTTATATTACACAGTGTTCTGATATGTGTCAAATAACTATTTCATAAACAATTTGTCTTACGTTTTATAGATTAATTAATTTGTATTCAGACAATAAACTCATTTGTTAAAACAACACATTGTGTAATATTAAAATCTATTCATTATCTCCTATTTTGTTTGTATTTTCCTTTCTATCTGTGATTCTTTTAATGATTTGATTATTGGTAGGTATTTAAAACGAGTTTTAGTTTGAATAATCAACAACTTCATTATTGAATTTATTCTTTGTGTATTGAAAAGATGACTTCCTGTTCATGGATGATGGTTCAAGAACATTATACCTGTTTGATTAAACATACCATTGAATGTAGTGAGACTTAATAAAGATAAGATGTGGAGATGATAAATCTTTCAAAGAGGATATTAATAAAAGTACTTTGAAGTTTGTTGACTAAACAAATTATGTTAATACTTCAACAAAACAAATGAAAGAAAAAACTTCAGAAACTATATAACTTCATCATTCAATTTATTCTTTATGAATTGATGAAATTAAAATATATAAATTTCAGTCTTGTTTATGGTTTAGAAAAGTAATATATTTGAATAGTAGTTATTGCATAATGCATGTTATTTTTATTGTATTTTGTGGACAATACATTTGTTGAAATAAAATATAAAGAAAATTATAGTGTGTTTCAGATACCTTGCATTTGTATAAATGAATAACATCTTAATTGTAATAAATATTAAATAAAAATACAAGAAGAAGATAATAAAGAATAAATTAACAAACAACACAACATTATCAAGAAATTAAAAGAAGATATTGAAAATTGAAAAAGAAGAAAGAGATAAATCAAAACAAAAATAAATAATAATAAAATGAAATAACAGTAAGAATAAGAAGAAAAGATAAATAATATACAACAAGAATAACAATACATCATTATGATAATGAAATTTATCAATGAAATAGAGAAATAAACAATAATAATAAATACACAACAATAATGATAATAACAATAATGAATATAAATATGAAAGAAACAACAAGAATGAAAAATAAAGAAATAAAGAATAAGAAGAAATGAATATAAATAAAGAAGATATAATAAACAAAGAATAATTCAAATATATAATCATTATTAATTATTTTATTCTTCTAAATACAAACAACAAATTGATATTAAATCAATGTTAAATAATAAAGATATAACACGTTGTTAATTTATTTGATGATATTTAAAATCAAAGCATAATAAATTTATTTTTATGAAACAAACTATCATGATTAATATTGATGATGAAGTAATTATGAAAGATAAAGAGAAAGAAGATACAATAAACAATGAAATTCTAAATAAAATAAACAAACACATTTATTTTATCATTTATTTTGATTTTTGTTGAATGAAGTATTTTTCTTACTTCAACATTCAATTATGAGAATTCTCATTCATATTTTTCATATGATTCTTTAAATAATTAGAAAAAGAGAGAGTTGATAAAAGTGAATGTTCTTCAAATAGAAAATGATATTATCAAATAATATTATCAGAATATTATTATATCTTATTCATTATACTCATATCATAGAGTATAAAACACATCAATCATTATTCTAAATTAAAAAATGAACAAATCAATCATTATATTTTTCACTTTATATCTGATTGAATGTCATCTTTCAAACAATAAATTGATGATTAATCCTCTTCAACATCAAATATTTAAATTAATTCAATTATTCATTCTTATCAATCATGAATTATTGCACAATGAAATGATTATAAGAAAGAATAATAATATTTGATGATGAAGAACTTAACAATTATGATATAGTATCATTTCAAGAGTTGTTTGGTACATTTCATCTAAACAAATAATCTTCTTAGAAAAACTAAAATAATAAGAATTTGTGTATGAAACTCATTTAGAAATCAAAATTGATATCTATCGAGTTGATGGTGTATGTATTTTATCATGTTTTCATATTGTAAATCAACATCAAAATATTTATACAAGATGATGTTATTCAGATGGAACATCTGCAAAATGGATTATTCATGTAAAAATTGATGTTAGATTTAGAAAAGAAATACATTTGTTTTCTACACATTTCTAACAGGTTATTATGAAAACAGAGAAGACAATACCAAATCAAGATTCATTGAAATAAACAAATCAATGAACCAAAATAAGCAAAGAAATAATGCATCTAAATAAAAACACCAAAAAGAAAAATGAATAAATATTTTATATCAATAAAACAATATTTATTATTTTGTATCAATAGAACAGACACTTTTTATTGCATATTTCTAATTTATGTAATAAAATGATTATTTCATCATCATTTTCATTATTTATTATCTCTTTTTAATCTACCATTTTTTTATCTTTTTTTCTTTTTATATTCTCAACTTTCTACTTTATTCTTTCATCTTCTTCTATTCCTACTTTCACTTTTTCTTTTATACACTTCTTTCTCTTCATTTTTTATCTTGTTTGCTTTTTTTTCGTTGTCCTTTACACCCTATTTGACTTTTATCTATTTTGTATTCAATATCATTTATTTGTAGTTAGTGTGTGATTTTACTTTTAATGATGAAGTGAATACTTTCATTGTTATATTAAAACAACATATTTGTTTATAGTTTTCTGGTGATTTAGAATCACCACAATTGTAAATTAATGATGTCTTTCAAAACTAGTATCTGCATGAGGATACTTTGTTGGTACTCTAACCATGATTAGAATATTTCTATTAGTTTATCTCTGTATCTAGTTAGATGATTCAAATAATATCGTTGTATTCAATCAACGCCAGGTGTTTTCAATGGATTCCTTTTAGTACATATTCTATTTCATCTATTGATACTTTAATTCTCTTGTTGTTAATATTCTTTCCTCATTCTTCTATGATTCTTCTATTATATTTATTATTAATGTCTATTTCTCTCTTTCACATATCAATTTCAACAATTTAATTGTATCATCATCACTTGGATATTCTATATCTTCATTTCTTTTTTCTTTATTCTTCTTCCCATTTCTTATTATTACATTTTTACTTATTCTTATTCTATCTTCTTTATTAATGTTTATTCTTTTCTTCTTCTTATTAATTAAATATTATATTTGTTTAATTTCATATTTTATTAATAATATATTCATTATTGTATTATTTATTTTTCATTATTCTTTTAATTCTAAGTGTATTTCTTGTTAATTAATAATTATTTTAATTTATTTGATCTTCTTCTTAGATAATTAATTTCATCATTTTGATATCTTATAAAATTATTTTATTGATATTTAGAAATATAGTATGATATTTTATATTTTTTGATATCTTCTATATTTTCACTTTCATACTTCCATTCTTCATTTATATATTTAATTATTTTATCATGTTTTTTATTGAAATAATAATTAATATATGTTATTTTATTTTTTTTATTTTTCTTTATTTTCTTGTATTTTTTGCATTTTATTATTAATTATTTCATCTTTCATGTTGTTTATCATTATTTCTCTTAGTTTATTGAATGAATGTATAATTATTTATTATATTTATTGTTATTTCTATTATCTTTTTCTTGATTCTTTCATCTATTCATCTTTTATTCATTTCTATCTATTCTTCTTTATTCTTCTTTCTTCTATTATCTTTAATTTCTAATATCTAATTTTCATTTTAATATTTATTATATTTAATCAATATATTAATAACTTTTTATCTTATTTTCTTCTATTTCTGATTGTTCATTTGTTCTTCATTATTTATTCTATATTGATATTCTCTCCAATTTGTCTTCTAGTTCTTCTAATGTCATTCTTAGTAATTCTTCTCTCTTGATTCGAATTACTCATTCTTGTATTTGTTTTAGTTTCTTCCTGGTTTCTTCTTTGATTGAATCTACTTCTTCTCTTCTATAATTATTCCACTCGATCCACTTCTCTTCTTTAGTGTTTCTGTTTTTGTCAGTGATATTGTTTTCTTCTTCAATTTGTTAAAATTTACATCTTTGATATTTTCTTCATTGACCTTGTTTTCTTTTTCTTCTGATGGTTTGATAATTGAATTTTCTTTTATTATTTCGATCTTATCATTTTCTTCTTTCTGTTTCTTAATTTATCTTCTAATTCCTTGTTTTTTATTCTTTCTATTTCTATTTCTTTGTCTTTAATTTTTTTGTGTTTTTGTTCTTTTATCTTTGTTATTTCTTCTTCTTCTTGTTTGGTTTTATCTTTTGTTTTATTGTTTTCTTCTTCTTGTTTATTTCTCTTGTTTATTTCTCTTATTTCTTTCTTTAATCTATTAATTTCTTCTTTCTTTTGTTTCTCTAAATTCCTTTTCAATGTTCGTATTTATTCTTCTTTCTGATAAACTTCTATCTGGTATTTACTCTTTATTCTTTCTATTTCGTTGTTTTCTTCTTTCTTTCTTCTCTTCTTTCATTATTTCTTCTTCTTTCTTTTGTATTTCTCCATTTCTTCTAATTTTTTTTTCCATTTCTTTTCTTTCTCTTTCATGTCCTACTTCTATTTCTTTTTTCTCTCATATCTTTCTATTATCTCTTTCTTCTCTTCTTCTATATCCATTTCTTGTTATTGTATTGTTTCTTCTTTTCTTCAATCCTCATGGGTATTTCTTCTTTTTCTTCTTCTTTCTTACATAACCTTTCTTTCACTATTTTTTCTATCTCTTCAAATCTCTTCACCATTTCTTGTATTATTTTCTTATTTTCTTTTGTCTTTCCTTCATTGTCTTTTCTTGTAATATCTTTTGTTTCTATATCTTTTACATTGTTTATTCTCATGATAATATTGATTAAAAATTTTACCTGTATTATAGTATTTGTGGTTATAATAATTACTTTTCTTTTTATTATAGTTGTGATTATTTGAGAATGTACTATTGTATTTATAAATATGATAATTATTATTAAAGTGATTATGGCTATTATTTTGTTGATACTGATTATAGTTATAACATTGATAATATCTTCTAAATCTATTTGTTTGTATATAATTATTTCTATATGATTTTCATGGCATTTTTGTGTTGCAGAAATAGATCTCAATATTAAAGAAGAATATAATAATAAAATAAGAAATAATCATTCTTATTCTTATTATTTATTATATTTGATTTTATATTTTATTTTATATTGATTTTTATCTTTTCTAAACATCATCCATTTCTTCTTTTTGTTAATTTTTTCTTTTCTAAACATCATCCATTTCTTATTTTTATTCTTTGTTGTTATTATTTTATATTAGATGTTATTTTATTATTTTATATTTGTTTATATTGTTTGTTTATATTTTATTATTATTATTTATTGTTGTTTATTTTATATTATTTATTTATTATATGTTGTATTGATATTTATCATTGTTAATAAGAAATGAATAATAATGAATAAATATAAAATAAGAATAAAATGATATAAGAATATAACATAAATAATAAAATAAGAAATATATAATAGATATAAAGATAAAAGAAGAAGAATAAAATAAATAAATAAAAAAAAAAAAAAAAAATATCAATTAATAGATATATCCATAATTGGATTTTCTTCATATTGAGAAGTGATTGTTTCAGTTTCTTCAATATGCTCTATTTCTATAATAGAGTTCACTTCTAACATACTCGCATTAGAAGGTTCCTCTTCTAATGTGTTGCCAGTGTTTCCTGTGTAGAACATTAAGTCTTTCATGTTTTTAATAATGATTGTTCGTAGTATTTTGGGGAAGTTGATTTGTAATTTTAGTGTTTTTAATCTTCTTACTGATTCTTTATGTATCAACCCATTGATTGTTAATATTACAGGTATTATTTCTACATAAGTTAATTCTCTACTTTGTCTTAGCTTCTCTTGTAATTCTTTGTATTTATTTATTTTGTAAATATAATTTAATTCGATGTTTCTATCTTGACATATGGCGACATCAATAATATATCCTTTTTTTTCTTTGACATTTTGATAATATATATCTGGTCTTCTAGCATTAAACGAATGGTCACTAACCAATAAATCTTTATTGTAAGTTATAACCATTTCATTATTATTAATACACTTAGGAGGGGCGTTAAAATCTATTTCATCAAATTCATTAAAATGGGTAATTAATATATGTTTATATATTTGTTTACATACATAATCGTGTTTTGATATTTGATTCTTCTTCATTACAGGACATCCTAACAAAATATGGCTAATAGATGCAATTGTGTTAGGACAATGTTTACAATATTTTAAAGCATCACAATGGAGTATTTTAGATTTAATATTTCCTGTCATAGTTACTCCTTCTTGCATCTTTACTACTTGGAGGAATGCATTTCTTTTTATATTTAATGACCTCCATGTGGCTACTGTTAATTTCTTATTATTAAATATACAATTTACATTTCTTATATATTCACTACATTTCTTTTCTTTCCAATCATTTAAATATCTTTCATTTAATTTATTTGTTACCCATTCAAATACTTTGCTTACATCATGTTTTCTTTCATTTAACTGTATTATATTCATTAATTCATTGAAATTAATCTTCTTACCAAATGCCCTCTTCATTCTTTTAATTATTCCATTTGGATTCTCTTTTACTGCCTCTATCATTTCTCCTATTTCTGTATTTGATCTCCATTTATATTT